CCACAAAATACAAAATATTTTTTGGCGGGAAAAGTGATCCCGCAATTTTCCCGCCAAAACACTTGTAAAAACCTTTAAGATACCTTGTAAAATTTTCCCGTAAAAATTTTTCCCGCCAAAAATTTTTTTTTGCGGGAAAAGTGATTCCGCAATTTTTTTGGCGGGAAAAATTTACAAGGTATTTTAAAGGTTTTTACAGGGTATTTATAAGGTTTTACAATGTATTTTAAAAGGTTTTACAACGTATTTATAAGGTATTTATAAGATATTATAAGATTTTACAAGCTATTTTATAAGGTTTTACAAGTTTTTTATAAGGTTTTACAAGTTATAAATACCTTATAAAACCTTATAAGCACCTTGTAAAACCTTATAAGTACCTTGTAAAAAATTTCCCGTAAAAAATTTTCCCGCCAAAAAATTTTTTTTGCGGGAAAAGTTATTCCGCAATTTTTTGGCGAAATTTTTGGCGGAAAAAATTTACAAGGTATTTTAAAGGTTTTACAGAGTATTTACAAGTGTTTTGTAAAGTTTTACACTGTATTTTAAAAGGTTTTACAAGGTACTTATAAAGTTTTATAAGGTATTTATAACTTGTAAAACCTTATAAAATAGCTTGTAAAATCTTATAATATCTTATAAATACCTTATAAATACGTTGTAAAACGTTTTAAATACATTGTAAAACCTTATAAATATCCTGTAAAAACCTTTAAAATACCTTGTAAATTTTTCCCGCAAAAAAAATTGCTGAATCACTTTTCCCGTAAAAAAAAATTTTTGGCGAGAAAAAATTTTACGGGAAAATTTTACAAGGTATTTTAAAGGTCTTTACAAGTGTTTTTGGCGGGAAAAATTGCGGGATCACTTTTCCCGCCAAAAAATATTTTGTATTTTGTTGACCTAATTTTGTTATATTTCCTTATATATTTGTGATATCTTTTATTAAAAAAAGGGTAATTTAGTCATTTTGTACATAAAAGGGGTATATTTAAAAATGGACAGCCAAAAGGGGCATTTTTGAAAAGGGGTATTGAAAAAGGGGCATTTTTGTGAATCTCCCTTCTTTTTATATGTTGTAGTTTCTTAAGTAATAATTTTTTAATACGTTAAAATTTATGAAATAATACATAACTAAAAATATACTAATATTTTCACCCAAGTAATATAATTCATTCTTTTAAACACACCTCTTTTTCTCACTTAATTATGAATAAAATTACAATACAACAACAAATAGATTTTTTATCCAATAAAATTGATATTAAATAACTTATATCGTTTTTTTAACATTACACTAATTTTTATTGGTTAATATCGATGATAAATAGATTAACCTTTTTTTATACATTCCAAAATCTAAGTTCCAAAATCTAATAGATCAATAACACATGGAAATTTGCATATAATTTTTATTTTGTTTTTCAGTTAGATTACCTTTTTGGTTAAAAGAATAGTGAAAAAATTCAAATATTCAAATGTACATAATTAGCTTATGTAAATATTTTGTTTTAGTTAATTGTAAGAGAAAAGAACAATTTTTTTATATGCATATATCAAAATTTGCTCGATAAAATTGATATATATTACGGTCAGGTGAATTATTAATTTTGAAAATTAAATTTTTTATATAGGAAGAGTTTTTGATATGAATAAGAGGAAAAATAATATGTTTAGCTTTTGAAGAGATATAAGAAATAAAATAATACGTTTCTGTATTAAATTCCTAAATCAATACAATAAAAACATTAAGAGTCTCTCCAGCAGTGACACATCAGCTTTTTGATCTGTTCTGGAGGTGACACATCATTAAAAATTTTACCCAATCAAAACATTTCAATTAATACACATCAGCTTAACAGCTTCCCACATCAGCTCGCCACATCATCATTTTATTAAAAAAACACATAATTTTAAAAAATAACCATTCAAATTAAAAAAAATAATACACACAATTATTTTAAATTTTTTGATAATGACAAATGAATTTCTAATTTGTTTCATAATTTAATATTTACAACAGAATAACTATATTTCAAAAAAGTTTTTTGACATAAAATGGGTTTTAGTGAACAACATGAATGAGGTGAATTTAACGAGTGGTTTACGCCGAATATATTTTTGTAAATTAATTTTGTTTTAATAAAAATATTTATGGTAAAATTTTAAAGTTTTTCGGATTCTGTATTTTACCTTTGCTCGTATTTTAATATTTTATTTATTCATACATTGATAAATAATTTGTATCTTACTTTTACAAAACAAATATGGTATAGTTAATCTTTGTATTTGTTTGTCTTTATTTTATGTTTTTAGTATATGTTTAACTTTTTACAAATGTTAGATTATTTTTATACTGTGATATTTGTAAATATTTTTCAGAGATTATTATACTTAAAAAACCTTAGATTCTTTCTCTTAAAATTATTTGTGCTACACAAGCATAATTTGAATCAAACGAAAATATTTAATATATCTTTTGATTTTTTTAAATACATTTTTTTACTATTAGATCACAATAATTAGTTACATAAAAAAAAATTGTGTATTTTTGTTCGTTAAAATCTGAACACTATGAACAGTTTTTAACTTTAAGATAATTCACTTTTCTAATTAGATCGGATCAATATTATTAGGGGTGAGCATTTTAACCGAATCGAAACAAACCATCCAAAGCCAAAAGGACCCAAACCAGACCATAATTTACATTCAAACCATAATCATTAACCCAATGTGTTTATTTATTTAATTAATTAATAGTATTAAATGATATTGTAAATACTAATATTAGATTGTCTAAAGAAAAGGGTGAGAAGATCGTTTAGAAGTTGAAAGCTCTTGGTGCTAAAGTTGTTTTGAAGTGAAATCATCAATTTGTTTTAAGGTATGTGTTACTTAAAAGCTTTAAAAAAATCACCATATAAAAGCTCAAGATACAAGCTGATTAAGGGGTTTCATAAGATCATAGGCTACACTTGCTCTTTCTCATTGCTAAATTGGGTTTGAAAGATAAATCTTTGCTACTTCAAAATGTATGGTCATAGGTTAGGTTTGTAATCTTTCTCTTTTTTACTTCAATGCCTTATGATTCTTTACTCCTAAGAATTTACAATTGTTAAATTGGTTTGTGTTTTTTTTTTTTTTTTCAATAGCAGAAAGTCACAGCAGCAAAGAACTTTACACTCTTAGGATTGTAACCTCACACTTTTTTTGATATTTTATCTTGTCTTCTTACTTCAAGATATATGGTCAAATCCGAATCAGGTGAATCTCTATGTTTCTATTATACACGTATCTTGCTTCACTTGATCATCTACATATGAAGCGCAAAGCTTTGTTAGTTCATGTTCACAAATAAAATCTACAGAGGAGAAATGGTCAAATTATTCTATGTTCTAACCATAAAGATGTGTAGCCAAGTAAAATTTGCAATTGCAATTGACTTATCTTGGATCTATGTTCTTTTTGTTGTTTATAAATTTTGATGAAAATGTCACAAATGTTATTGATTAATTAGTTATTATTAGTGATCTATTTTGTAAGAGTATATAATTCAGCATATCAAAAAGTTAAGAATTGACTATGTATTTGTGGTTTATGTTTTGAATGAAGGTGATCTCACACCGGTTCAAACGCTGGATCTACTCTGTTCCAAGAGCACTTAATGGTAAATATAAATTTAAAGAAAGACAAGGAGAAAGATGATTCCAAGGCTCTCTTCAAATGCTAAGAACCGTATGATCAATAATATGTAACTGTTTATCTTTAAACATTCTAATTTTAAGTCACGAACCAAATTATTCTAACAAATGTTTGTGAATTGTTTAGCCTATTCATTTTTAGAACCCATAACAAAGCATGACCCATCTTTTGTTATTTCTATATATTCATGTAATTTTCATAACTTGTGTTCAATTAACTTTATGTCTTTATCTAATAAGTTTCATCAAAATCATGTATTCTTATATAAAAATATATATATATTTGAATTTAAATCCAGACAGTTATGATTTTTCTCGAAAGAGATTGATGTCTCTCGTGATCGACAAATTGACTGATTCTAATAATAAAGTCAATGTAACAAACTTTATTATTCTTGAGTGTTCTTTATGTTATCTTATGGGCTGAATTTATGTGGATAACCTTATTTATATTCTTCAAAGCATAACAAAGATGAAGGGTATATATGTTATTAGGCCTGGGCGTTCGGATATTCGGGTCGGGTTCGGGTCGAGTTTTTCGGGTTCGGATTTTTCGGGTATAAAAACTAAGACCCGTTCGGGTATTTTAAAACTTTGGGTTCGGGTCAGGTTCGGATCGGATATTTCGGGTTCGGATTCGGGTTTACCCGAAGTATCCAAATATTAAAAATTTTGTATCCGACTCTTTGCAAAGTATTGAAAAATACTCAAAAATCTATAAAACCCAAATATTTTTTAACCGAATCTAGCCAAAAGTAACTAAAACACCCAAAAAATTTTAACATCCAAATAATTAGGCACTTAAATTTTTACAAGTATAAATATTACTAATATATTATAACTATATACTTATATTTCGGGTATGTTCGGATACTTGTTCGGGTTAGGGTTCGGGTCGGGTTCGGGTTCGGATTTTCGGGTTGTGAAGTTTAGAACCCGTTCGGGTATTTTAAAACTTCGGATTCGGATTCGGATCGGATTTTTCGGGTCGGGTTCGGTTCGGTTCTTCGGGTTCGGATAATATGCCCAGGCCTATATGTTATCAAGCTCTTAGACAAGTAAACATATTTGTAATTAGACCATAATCATATCCTCTTTCTTTTGATTTTTTTTTTTTTGCAATTATACTACTTTGATTTTGATTGTTTGAATAATAAAATTTTTTTTAAAAGTATCCCGCAGCGTAGTGCGGGTTTCGATCTAGTCCTATTAATTGCTTAAGGATAAAGGAAGAATCTCACGTGATGCAAAGAGGTTGCTACTCTCTACTCCGACCGCAACATAAAAAAACTGGACACCTGTCGAAGACTGCATTAAACTGGACACCTGTCAACGATTGCATTATCTCTCATAGTTCACTGGTTCTTCAAACTTCCTCAAACTTTAGAAAACTTAGAAAAAGGGGTTTCAGTTGTAGCTTATAACAAAATCTACTTAGTTTTGGTTTCGGAAACCAAAAGATTGACATTAAAACTATAGATCCCAAACTTTGAAAACCAAGGCTGATCAATGAGTACTTGGGCGAGTAACTTTTTCAAGAAGAGCAGATTGCCGTCTTGTATCTATTCTTCAGGTTTCATTTCCTTCAAGAAATGTTTCACCTGCTCCATTAATGTCTTTCTATCTTCATCAGCTCCTTCACATTCAAATCTCTTCTCCACCTTCTGCGGAGGTACACGATGATTCAAGGAGGTTTTTATCACCTTGAGGAAGAGGGTTTCTAGCTGTGGAGACTTGTTGAGCAGACCTGGCAACGATTCCCATCCTAGTTCCGGGCCAGTCTTAATTGATAGTTGAGTCAGGTTCTTGAACACCGGTATAGGATCACAGCAGAATGTAAGCACCTGAAACACAGGACCATGTCAACTAAATCATAAGAGAAGAGGCAAAGGTATACAAATTCAAGGGACTGAGATCAGCAAACCTTAAGAGTGTCTGACGTTATGGAAAGGGTGTCAACGTTGCAGATTCCCTTCCAAAAATGTGTAGCATGACCAACGACATTCTCTTCTTCTTCTTCTGCGTTTCTGCGGATAAGCTGAATCTTGGCTCCATCAAGCTTATGAAAGTTGGCTGTTGGATACTGGCGTGCATTGTCATCAGAATAGTGTAAGCACTGAAGATTTGGAGTGTTAAATATCACACTCTTGGGACATCCATTACGGTCTTTGTCATCATCATAAGATTCCCAGTGAATCCTCATTTTCTTCAGCCTTGTGCTAGACACACAGCAAACATCCCAGTCATACCAGTTTATGTCCACCAAAGACAACACCTCAAGAACCGGGCAACCTGAGAGAAGCTTCGACAACCCAGTATTACCATCTGTAAACTGAACATCATCAAGATGAAGAGTCTTCAGCTTTGGGAGATCAACACAACCACGTTCCACATTAATGATACAATCAGTGCCTATTGCTAGCCTAGACAGTTTCTTGGCCACAAAGACATGTGGAGATGGTCCAGACCAATTATCCAGATTATAAATTTGTAGGTCAAGATCTGACAAGCCGAGTTCCAAAGCCTTGAGTATCAACCCATGGACACGATCTCCATCAACGCCTTCAACAAGATGCAAAGAAAGCTTTTCTATGGGAGTCATTCCCCGCGAAACCAACATTCTAGCAACAAACTCTACAAAAGTCAACCCATTATCACCTTCATGGTATGTAAATTTAAGTTTTGGTGCGAATAAAAACAAATAGCGCCATCGTTTTGAGATAGTGGACGTTGTTGCAGCCACCTCGATTGGTAAAAATGACAAAATCCGGCTAAGGAGATCTTCCGGTAGATCATTCAAATTCTTTGCGCCATATGCAATTCTCTTTGTGTGAGGCATGACTATAGGCTAAAAAAGCAAGACCTGAAAGTTTAAAGCAAAAATGTGGTTCTAGAATCATCAAATGCATCATAATTTCTTTATATTCAGAGTTTTAGAGCACATTCAATACACGAAGAAACCCTAGTTTTATATCCAATTTCAAAACAAGGAAGTTTAACATATACGGAATCAAATCTAAAACCAGCAAAATCGAACCACCATTTCCAGACTCTCTAGACTCTTAAGAATCTCCTAATCTCCTAAAATCATGGCTAGAGAACACTAAAACCCGGAGCAGAATCTAGGAATCAAAACAAGAGGATCTAAGTTCGCCTAAGACACCAGAGTAACGAAATCAAAGCGATCTCGAGAGTTTTAGGGTTTAGAGAAACACACCTTTTGGACTAGAAGCAGAAGCAGACACAGATTCGCGATCAGATTTAGAAGAAGAAGAAGAAGCAAACACAAATTCGCGATCAGATCTAGAAGAAGAAGAAGAAGAAGCAAACGTAGATCTCAGGACTCGCTCATGTAATTCTTCTGGTCTACGAGTGTCGTGAATGAAGAAGAAGCAAACGCACACTTCACTTTGGAGTGTGGACTACTAATTTCAGGTTCCGGTTCAATTAAATCGGTTAACCAAAAAAGCAAACGCACACTTCACTTTGGAGTGTGGACTACTAATTTCAGGTTCCGGTTCAATTAAATCGGTTAACCAAAAAAGCAAACGATTTCAGAATTGGATTATTAAATAAGACACGGCAAAATTGTAGTAACAAATATTATTCAAAAGCCGGTTTACATTTTATCGGAGCTTAGTGAAAATTTCAGATAATTACTTTGGATTTAGAGCCAAAATTAGTTGACACTGAACCGGTTCTCTCTAATTAGATAACACCCTTTCCATATATATTCTAACTAGATATGGCCATATAAGAAAACTAATGAAGACAACTATAATCAAATAATTAACGGTTGAGTGATCTAGATTAGAAACATTTTTTTTTTTTAGAAACAAATATTACCTGAATTTGTATCTGATTCCACGGATCTGTGATTTTAAGATCCGAATACCTCAGTTGGTATCCAATTTTTTTAGCAATACTTGGATAATTTGTCCAGCTCTACCACTTAGTTAACAATTATTTATATCTTATTTTTCATTGTGAAGATTTCTTTTATTCTTCATAATATTTCATTTATATTATATTAAAGTAACAGTAAATTTAAATATAAATGGGCATGATTAGTTTCCGAATTTATTGTGATTTTTAGAATTTAATATTGTTATGCAAGTTAATAAACAAAATCTTGAAGAACTGTTTCCTAAAATACAATGTGAGAATGAAAATATTTCGGTACGATATTGATTCCCAAAATATAGTAAAATATCTTCATTATATGAATGAATACAAGCGTTCACATAGAAAACACCTCATTCATTTTCTTTAGTTTTTTTTTTCTTTTCAATTCTCTGCTACTAGAAAATAATAGATTTTTTCACAATTTGCATCACTAATATATATTTTGTATTGTTTTTTTGCAGTTCGATTGTAACCGACTATTCAGGGCAATTAAAAGAGTTGGATCGGTGCGTCAAAAAGTATGTTTTTTTTTTCCATTGTCAAAATGAGTTTTAGATGCATCATATGTAAATAATTTCAGATTTCAACTTTACTAAAAATTTTCTAATTTCTACCTTTTTAATTATGCTATATATTTCTTAACGAGCTAAACCAAAAGAGACTAACACTTTTGGTGAATGGACTCAGCAAACTCTCACTGTAACGAAACGGAGACACAATTGTGGAGGTGAGTTTTGATTTGTGTTATCTCTAACACCTTTCTTTCTATATTAAAATTTTTTTGCCTCTTTTGTTTTTCAGTTTTTTGGAGGAAACCATGGGATAAGGAATGCTTTGTTGCTGTTCATGAAGAATCTGAGGAACAAGTTTTTCGATTGAAGAGAAGAAGAGTATGAGAATACAACATGACACATATATGGTCTGCTTTTGGTGAACGAACACACGTTTTGTTTTTTGGTTTTATTGACAGTCTCTTAGTCATGATGATTTTAGTATGGTCTTGTTTCGGTGAATGAACCAGTCTTGTGTTTTGGTTTTCGTTTTATTTGCTGTCTTAGTCATGTAGTAGTTGAGCTTGACACAAAAGAGTAGTATCATTCATATTGATTCTTGATGTAAAAGAAAAAATAAAATTACAGTGAAATTAATACAAAACTGCAACCAAAAAAAGCTCTTCTCTCTCTGTGCTTGTGCTGCTGTATCTCAAAGACATCTCCTGTTCCGAGTAGTTTGGCACATTACAGGCAGATATATCGACAAGTTCTAAATCCCTTCTTCAAGTTAAATGACCAAGATCATCACTAAAATTAAAAACCATACTGTTTGTAACAAAACTCAGTATATTAGTAGTATTATGAGCTCTTCAAGCTAATGCCAAATCGTGAGGCAGCAGCAACCATTTTTCAAACTACTGGTACCGGTTACAGCTGCTACCTTTCGGGGTCTTGCGTTCATAAACATCGGAATCTTGTTTATGTGAACTGAAACGCAAACAAATTACAGTGAAATTAATACAAAACTACAACCAAAAAAAGCCCTCTCTCTGTGCTCATCATTTGTAAGGTCACATGTAAACTCCAAAACATAAACCTGAGAGGATTTATGATAAAGAAGACCATTCATTACTCATACTATACTACAATGATCCCAGGTCAATATTAACTTCTAATTACACTGGTACTCTTAAAATAGCTATCTTGTGCAGAAGGAAATCCTGAGCTTTTTCCCAGAGCTCAACCTATAGACTAATACATATATCTGTTTATTGCATTGGCTACTCCATATTCAGGGTACAGTAATTTTCATTATCATAGTTTCCAGAAAACTACAGGAGCAGTGAAGTAAAACCAGAGCAAATAATCACATTGTCCAACTCTCGTTCTTTGTTCCTCTCAGTTGAAGGCAGTTAAAATAGTTTAGTTTTACTAGAGTCACACCTTTTTCAATTGGTTTTCCCGACAGTTGTTGCAGTATGATGCACGTTCATGCTTGCTCAACATGTTCAGAGCACAAGACATTGAATACCTGAAAAATAAGCAACACAAGTAACTTGCACCGTCAATGGATCATTATGAGCCCCGTAGATGGTCACTGAGGTCAATTTTTGTTGTGGAAACCCCCGAAGAATATAAGAATTATAAGTTTGATTGGAATCAAATTCTAGACTCTTTTAAGTGTTTATCTTACATATATAAATATCAATTTGTCCTCTTTTCCGCTGATCAAAACTCCAAAGCTATAAATGTCAGAGAATGTCCTTGGCCATGCATACCTGGAGCCATGTAACCTCTGTTCGAATATCGAATATATATAGAAAGAAAAAAAAAGATTAGTATACAGAATTAGAAATTTTGATATAATTGGGAGAAGAAGAGTAGTGACTCTTACAAAGTTCCTAATACCCTGCCAGCGTTGTCTTGATTTTGAGTTCCTTGAAACATCGGAGCCAACCAAATATCCGAATATTTTGGGCCAATCAATCTCCAGCTTCGCTAAGATCAATATAATGTATACACAACAACAAACGAGAAACAGAGAGAGTAAGCTCTTAATCTTTTTCATTCTGTTTAACTCTGTATCTCCAACACCCATATGCCAAAAAGAAACTAAACTGTAAGCTATGTCACCAAAAAAGAAAAAAGCAGAGAGGCTAACAGTAACAGCAATGATCTTGATTCGCTTGCTTCCAGCTCAGAGATTCACCAAGAAACTAAACTGTAAACCATGTCGCAATTGAAAAAAATCATAGGAAACAAAGCTAAAACATTATGTAAAAACCGAAAAAGAAAAAAAGTGATTTGTGGTGTTTTAAAGTCCTACCTAACTCAGAACGTGCAAGACAGATGGAAAGAAGCTCTCCTTCTTCAGTAAAGTGAACCATGTCCAATAGCTCCTGGTTCCACACTAAGCATCCAAATCCATTAATCCGAGCAAGAACAGTTGCTGAGATATCCTTGATAACATTGTTCTGCATCACCAGAGCTTGGAAATTCTAAGAATCCAGGGGATCAATATAGGTAACAGGGTAAAGTTAGTCTGTTATATCTCTTCCTTCCTTGTGTTGTCGAAGAAGAATTTCCGTGACACGATGATAACTCTGTTCGTCTCACACACCTACGAGTCCAGTTTCCGCTATTCCAACTCATCATCTGACTTTGGCACAAACCCTCTGAAGCATTTGCAGGTTGGACAGTTATTCTCTGCATATTATTGGCATCTTACTCAAGCAGCAGCAACAAATAAGTATAATTTCGGAGAAGAAAGATGAGAACGTTGGATAGAAATATGCAGAAAAATGTTAAATTACAAAGGTTCATTGGAAAAAAGACAAATTAATTGGACAAAGCAGAGAATAAACTTTGGAAATAATAAACAGGATAGCCACGGGTTTCGGGTTTCAAGAGTAAATCATAAGATTTGGCATGGAGATCATGTATGACCAGGTCTCCCACGCAATGGCGACCTTGAAGCAATAACTTATTCTTGTCCAAAATTGCAATTGGTGCGAGAGGGAAGTTGATATCGATGAACCAAGAACGAGTTCTTGTGACATCTATAGAACATAATTTATTCCATGTCTTGTTCTTGTTGCCGCCAGATGAATGGAACGACCATATCACTTGGGTGGACGAGTCTTGCTCAGAGACGCACAAGCGATTATCGAGGATGAACATGTTGTGGCTGAAAGGGAAATGATCACGGGCAAAGGGAGCTTTACAGAGGACATGAAAGGTTTCGGAGTGAAGATCGAAAGACAATACCTTGGTTTCTTCTTCACCCTCGGCGAGCCAATGAAGTGACCCATCTAAATACACGGGATTAATAAAATCATCAATCCGATGAGGAGGAGAAGGGTGAACGTACCGCCAAGTGTTGGTGCTAAAATCGAAAACTTCACAAGTGGTAGCGTTGGGGAGGCCAAAGTCGGATGAGTTATACAACCAAACAGGCTTATAAGTGCCAGTGAATTTGTCTCTGCCGAATCCAAGATTAGGCATAGGGAAGAAGTCATGGTCTTCGGGTTTATCGTACATGTCGAGGCAGAGCAGTTGCAAGTTGGAAAGAGGAAAAGTTTGATGCCATCCAGTGGCGGGATTGACGACGACACTAGGAGTGTAAACACAGTAGAGACATAGTAGACCGTCACAGCTACCATGGCAGATCCTGCTGCCCGAAGAAGTAGGTAGCCTCACGGTAGAAACAATGGATGACCCCAAAGCAATACTTTCAGCATATATGCCATCACAAGACCAAGTGAGGGGCACTAAAAGAACATCAGGGCCTCGTGATTGCTTGCGACGGATCAACTGTCGTTCCTTGAAACACCGGGACTCGATTGTGGATTTCCAATTCTTGGAAACAGACTTGAATTTCAATAGAGACTCCACTGGCAGTCTCTCGAGGATCAGCTCTACAGCATCGTGAGGTAGCAACAGTCCCACAACACTCGACCGATGTCGTTTCAGTCCCACAACAACACTCGAGCCATGACGTCTTTTCAACATTCTCTTCTTCTTGCCAGGGCGGGAAGGCAGGGCTCTAAATATATACACACAGGCTATGCATTCGTCTCCAGCTTCCGTAGTAATCGAAAAAAAAAAATTTGGAAAACTTCAACTCTGGGAAATGGAAATTTCAACACTTAACTTTTTCTTAGTTGTTATTTTACAAATCAATAATCAAAAACCAATAACATCATTACAGTGAGTACCTCCGCCATATAAATCCTTCCTTCGATGCGGCGAACCAATCTCTATAGTGATACGATATGATTGAAACGACGCTCAGGGAAAAGCAATCTCCGTTTATATATAATGAAACAATTCAGGGAAGGAAAAAAAACCATGGAGACGCGAAACTCACCGAGTAAATAGTCTCGCCGGAGATTAATGTCGCTGGAAACTGCCGGCGATTTAAGCGACGGAGAAGCCGAAAATGGTTAAAAAGTGATAACGGCGAAAGTAAAACAGGGTAAAGCAAAGTAGATTGCTTGCCGTTTTTATGTTAGCCATGAACTCGAAATATTTCAACAAGATTAAATGCAAGCGATTCTTTACGAAGAAGAAAAGCTTCACGTGCTTCGTGGGCCCATTGCAAAGCTTTCAAGTGCAACAATTATATGGGCCTTCTAATGCTTGGGCCCAGTTTACTTTCTCATGTCCAATTGTCGGCCTCGGCTTTCGGTTAACCGTTCGGTTATCCGTTTGATCTATTCGGTTTTGGTTCTTTCGGTTTAAAAATTTAGTATCCATTCGGATATTTTGAAATTTTGGTTCGGTTTTGGTTCGGTTCCGGTTCGGTTCCGGTTTCTTCGATTTTAAAATTTAGTATCCATTCGGTTATTTTGCTTATGATATTTTCGGATATTTTGGTTATTCTTGAGTATTTTCGGATATTTTTGGATATGTTTCGGTTATTTTTGAATATTTTTACTATTTTTATATATATTTTTAAGTATTTTTGATTATTTGGTCTATAAATAACTAATTATTTTGAAAATATAATTCTATTTCGGATATTTCGGTTATCCGAAATATTTTGGTTCGGTACCGATTCGGTTACGGTTATTTCGGTTATTGAATTAGTATCCATTCGGTTATTTTCAAACTTTCGGTTCGGTTCGATTCGTTTTTTTTTTTTTTCAATTTCGGTTCGGTACATTCGCCCAGGCCGACCAATTGTGTGATCATTCTTTAGATATCATTTTTGCAAACAACCTCGGAATCTAAGTATGAGAACCCATTTGAGAAACAAATCGTTAGAATCTTGATTTAGCGGCACTCGATAAAGTCCCAAAAAGAAAAGGTTTTTAGATCAGAAAGGAGCGAAGAATGAGAAATCACCTGATGGGTTTTGTGTGTTGGAAGATACCGGCGACCAGAGACGGAGACGGAGACGGCAAATTTTACAAATGGAGTGAGTGAGTGCTATTAGGGTTTATGTCTCTTGGAACACTTCGTTAAACACGATGACCAGAAATACTTCAAAATTCTGATGGAGTTGCCGAACCGGTTCGCATAACATCAAGTCGAGGGAGAGTACCAAACCGAAGATACAATTGATTGTGTTGGTTTGTGTTTGTTATTTTGTTGTTTCAGTAATAATCGTGGAGAATTGGTCTTCCTAATGTTTAGGAGCCAACTTTCACACTTTCCCATTTCCCTTGTTTGTAGGAGTTGAGACACCATCATTTGCTTCTGTAATCTCTATTTAAGAAAATGAAAAAGCCAAAAAGAGGCAATCATTATTGCCCAAACACAATTGTTCTCTGTTATGTTCTTACTCTGATTCTAAGACTTATCATTTTGGTATCAGATTCAACGTTTCTTTTCGCTTCTTGTTGCGACATTCCTCACAGAATCAACGCTAGCAAGATCGTTCTTTTCATTTCACTTTCATTTCCTATCACCCCCATTCCATCATTGCACCCAGAAAAACAAAAAATTCGAACAAACCACAAGTCATGGCTCCGGTCACTACGGTCGCAGCCAAGGAGAAGGAGAGGCTCGAGGTGTTGGAGACGATCCTGAGCCACAGTCCAGAGCGATCTGCACAAAGCCACCGGCAGTATGGCGGAGAAGATAACACAGATCGAAGGGTCTCTCGACGTACATTTTCGGGCCATGGAGCAGTCTTTCAACCAAACCCTTGAAGAATCCATGAACCGGATGCGAGAGATGATGGCGCAGTCCCGCGAAAGCAGTTCCAGTGGTCCTACTTCCACCATACAACCAGGAGGGTTTCCGAGAAACGATCGCAATGACCAACCAGCGGCAACTCAACCACGACATCAACGACCAAAGCTAAAGCTACATAGATTCAGCGGAGGAGATCCCACTGAATGGTTGAGCAAATTGAAACAATTATTTGCTTACCAAGAGATACCGGAGGACCAATGTGTCAGTTTTACGGCGTTTCACCTCACGGAGGAGGCAAACGAGTGGTGGATGGCCACGGCCAAGAAACTCAGAATTCACCCGCTATACGCCAGATGGGAGGTCTTTGAGGAGGAGTTGTGGATCCGGTTTGGTCCTACAGAAGGAGAAAACCTCCACATGGCTTTGTCAAAGATACGACAAACCGGTTCTCTTAGCGATTATCAACGGGAGTTTGAAAAGTTACAAAACAAGGTAGATAATTGGTCGGAGGAGGCACTGGTGGGCACATTCCTGGGTGGACTGAACGAAGCTATTGCCAACCACGTCCAAATGTTTGCACCGACGACCTTAAAAGATGTCATCCGCTTAGCACGACGTAGCGATGAGCTGCAGAGGCAGAAGAAGACTCCACCATCTCGCCAGTTTACTTCCAATTCGCAATTCAGCCCGAGACCAACTACACCAACCGCACAGCTGCCTGGTAATAGCTCCAATCGACCGCCGACGACACAAACACCTAAGCGGCTAAGTTGGGACGAGATGAGACGCAAACGGAGTATGGGATTGTGCTTCAGTTGCGACGAACGTTACAGCCCCGGGCACAAATGTAAGAAATCTCAATTGCTTCTCATGGAGGGTGAAGGTGATGAGGATGACGATGATGAGGAGTTTGTGGATAGCCAAGAGACGGTTGAACCCGAGATCTCCCTCCAATCCCTGACCGGATGGGGTTCGCCCAAGACATTACGGGTTAGAATAGATATCAATCAGAAGCAGTTTGTGGCTTTGATTGACAGTGGCGCGACACATAACTTTCTTGGGGAGAAGGAGGCGACTCGCCTGGGTTTGACGCTGACGCCGACGAAGCCGTTCAATGTCAAGGTGGCCGACGGGCATCCTCTCTGGTGCCGTGGTGCTTATCGGCGTGTGAGAACAAGGATCGCCGATGAAGTATTTGAGATCGATTTTTTCAGCCTCCCGTTGTCAGGTCTCGACGCAGTGTTAGGGGTGAGCTGGTTGGAGCAACTTGGGCCTATAGTTTGTGATTGGCGGGCCCAATCCATGAGGTTTACCTGGGCTACAAAGGAGGTGGTCATTACTGGGCTTCAAAGAGGCCAAATTGGAGAGGCCCATTCAAAGGAAATTGAAAGAGAAGCACGTAGGGGCCACTCTGTTTTTGTTCTCACGATCTACAGGGATGACACCACCGCAGCAGAGCCGCCGGTCTCTGCCAACCTCTGCCGCCTACTCCGCCGTTACGACACCGTGTTCCAAACACCGACGACGCTCCCGCCTAAGTGTGACATCGAGCACCATATCACCTTGAAGGAAGGATCAGATCTGGTCAATGTTCGTCCGTACCGATATGCACATTTTCAGAAGGAGGAGATTGAAAAGCAGGTTCAAGCGATGTTGGACGCAGGCCTGGTCCGACCGAGCTCAAGTCCTTTCTCGTCACCCGTGCTACTGGTGAAGAAGAAGGATGGCTCATGGCGGTTTTGTACCGACTATCGAGCTCTCAATGCGGCAACGGTGAAGGATCGGTTTCCAATTCCCACGGTGGAGGATATGCTGGACGAGTTACACGGAGCGGTCATCTTCACTAAGCTCGACCTTACTGCCGGGTACCACCAAGTTCGAGTCCATGAGCCAGATATTCATAAGACAGCCTTTCGTACGCACAATGGACACTATGAGTATCTCGTCATGCCCTTCGGTTTATGCAACGCACCATCAACTTTTCAGGCTCTCATGAACTCAATCATTCGTCCGTATTTGCGCAAATTTGTTTTGGTGTTCTTTGACGATATTTTGGTGTATAGTCAGAATGAAGCAGACCATTTGGAGCACGTCCACACGGTCATGGAGATCCTACAACACCAAGGTCTGTTCGTCAAAAGAAAGAAATGTGACTTCGGGAAAGGCGAGCTGGAGTATCTTGGACACATTATTTTGGGTGAGGGAGTTAAGGTGGATCAATCAAAAATTCAAGCCATGACCGATTGGCCCGCACCAACCACGATTACGGAGCTGCGGGGGTTCTTGGGTCTCACGGGCTACTATCGGAAATTTGTACGTGACTACGGTATCATCGCTCGACCTCTTACTAATTTGTTGAAAAAGGGGAAATTTGAATGGAGTAAAGAGGCCGAGACGGCATTTGCGCAGCTCAAAACAGCCATGACTGTAACACCGACTTTAGCATTGCCTGACTTCTCAGTCCCGTTTATTCTCCAAACTGATGCGTCGGGAGACGGCATCGGGGAAGTCCTCACACAGAACGGCTAGCCGCTCGCCTTCATGAGCCGTTCTCTTGGGGTTGCAAAACAGAGCTGGTCCACATACGTGAGAGAGATGCTCGCGATCGTCATAGCCATTCGCACTTGGCGACCCTATCTCTTAGGACGCAGATTCGGGATTCAGACGGACCAAAAGAGCTTGCGTTTCTTGCTGGAGCAGCGCATTCTCACACCGGAGCAGCAGAAATGGATGGCTAAATTAGCCGGTTACGACTACGAAATCACATACAAACCCGGTGTCGCAAACAAGGCAGCGGATGCCCTCTCTCGGCGGTCACAAAGTCCCTGCCTTAACACCGTTTATAGCCAACAAGCAGCCATTTGGGACGAGCTGCGTCTCTTGCAAACCGCAGACACCTACTTGATCCGTTTGGGTAAGCTCGCGACTACAGCTCCGGGTCAACCATATGCATTGCGTAACGGGTTGGTTTGCTTTAAGAATCGTGTGGTAATTCCGCCTACCTCTCCTCTTATACGATCTTTATTATGCGAATATCATGATACACCAACAGGGGGTCATTCCGGTGTGTTGCGTACATTTAAGAGGCTCGCTCAGACTTTCTATTGGCCAGCTATGCATCGTATTGTTCGTGACTATGTCGCCGCATGCGATATATGTCAACGTGCCAAGTCTGCTAGCCTATCTCCTGCGGGTCTCCTACATCCATTGCCAATACCTAACCAAGTCTGGGAAGACCTTTCCATGGACTTTATCGATGGTCTTCCTTCCTCGGATAGACACACAACCATCATGGTGATCGTTGACCGGTTATCCAAAGCTGCCCATTTGGTACCACTATCTCACCCATATACTTCGAAATATGTTGCTGCTAAGTTTATTGAATATGTTGTGAAGTTACATGGGATGCCTAAGACGATTGTTAGTGACTGTGATCCGGTGTTCGTGAGTGGCTTTTGGTGTGATCTGTGGAAGCTATCCGGTACCAAACTGTGTATGTCTTCGGCTTACCATCCTCAAAGCGACGGACAAACTGAGGTCGTCAACCGTTGCATCAAGCAGTTCTTGCATTGTTTTGTGCACGAGCGACCAAAACAGTGGAGTTTCATGCTTCCATGGGCGGAATTTTGGTATAACACAACGTATCACTCTTCCACAGGTATGACACATTTCAAAGTTGTGTATGGTCGTGATCCTCCTGGCTTGGTGGGTTACAAAGCGGGTTCTACGCCGATTATGGAGTTAGATGAGCAATTGGTTGCGCGGGACGAGCTACTTAGGGATCTCAAACGGCACTTGGAAGCTGCGGGTAATAGAATGAAACAGAATGCGGATGCAAAGCGGCAAGATGTACACTTTGATGTGGGAGATTGGGTCTTCTTGAGGCTGCAGCCCTACCGCCAGCATTCTATTTTCCGGCGCACGTCACAAAAGCTCTCTACGCGGTACTTTGGTCCGTTTCAAATTGAAGCTCGCGTTGGACCAGTCGCTTATCGTCTCAAGTTACAAGAGGGTACCAAGATCCACTCTTTTTTTCATGTCTCTCTGTTAAAGAAGCGAGTTGGGTCCGACACGCCAACCTCCGGTTCACTTCCTCCTCTTCGTACTAACGGTCAGTTACGCCTCAAACCTGCGCAAATCCTTGAAGAACGCACAGTGACATGGGATGGCGAAGCTTACACGGAAGTATTGGTGCTATGGGACGGCCTTGGCCGGGATGACGCGACGTGGGAAGACTGGGAGCAGCTGCGACTGATTTTTCCCAGCTTGAATCTTGAGGACAAGATTCTGGTCGACGGGGAGAGTAATGATGGAGTCCCCGAACCGGTTCGCAGAACATCAAGTCGAGGGAGAGTACCAAACCGACGATACAATTGATTGTGTTGGTTTGGGTTTGTTATTTTGTTGTTTCAGTAATAATCGTGGAGAATTGGTCTTCCTAATGTTTAGGAGCCAACTTTCACACTTTCCCATTTCCCTTGTTTGTAGGAGTTGAGACTCCATCATTTGCTTCTGTAATCTCTATTTAAGAAAATGAAAAAGCCAAAAAGAGGCAATCATTATTGCCCAAACACAATTGTTCTCTGTTATGTTCTTACTCTGATTCTAAGACTCATCAAATTCAGACTAAATAAATTAGTATCGAAAGATGAGACACTTCGAGCTTTTAGCTGCAACTAGTTCATCTCTTTTCCTCAAACTCCATTTCTGAGTTCGAACTTCGAAGGACATTATTATCTTGTTGTTTTATAGTTTCAAGCTTTGAATCTTTTATTTGGGCCAAGAGGCCCACTAAATTTTTTTTACTTGTTTAGTTTCACATAAATATTTAGTTTTATTGGATTCAAATTTGAATATGAAAACAGATATTTAGATATGGGAAAACTATAAAAAAAAAAAAAAAAAAAAAAGAATTCTCAGTTTTTAGAAAAGCTAAAAATAACCTCAAGTTTAATTTCGGTAAAATAATTCGCTAATTTTTATTGACTTTTTATTCTAATCATTAATTTCTGTTGACTTTCTGTTTTAGTCCTAATTTTAATGATTTTGCCAAATAAAATTAGCAAAGTTAAATTTACCTTATTTTGACTAAGGGGTTCGAGTCTCATTTTTTAGTTTTATTTCATATTAAAAGGGGTTCGAGTCTCATTTTTGAGTTTTATATTTTAAATCAAAACGATATTGTTTTGTGGTTTAACAGAGAATTTCAACAGAAATTTAACTTCGCTAATTTGTTTCCTCGGTCTACTTAACAACGTGACTTATTTGGCAAATTGAACAAAATTTAACATTAAAATAGGATATGAACAAAAACTAATGCTTAAATAAAAATTCAATAAAAGTTAGCAAATTATTTTACGGAACCGGAATTGGAGCATTTTAGGCATGTTTGTTAAGTTGATGATTTTTTTGACATTTTTCATTTTAGATATATCAAATATTACTCTTGGATGTAGAAATATTTTGGGTCGAAAATCTATACAAGATTTAAAAAATTATTTTATAATATTTTAAGCGCTGACTCTTGACACGTGTTCTAAAAATTGAGTTGCAATAGATGTTACAATTTGATGTAGCTAGGAGTAACAATTATTTTATGATATTTTCAGCTCTGACTCCTGACACGTGTTCTAAAAATTGAGTTGCAATAGATGTTACAATTTGATGTAACTTGGAGTAACAATTGTTTAGTATAAGATGTAGTTTGATACTTTGATGTAGTAGATTTGATGTAAAAATATGAGCTAATATCTTTCTTTAAACAACTGATTAGTAACGTTTATGATATATAATTTTTTTTATTGTCAACCAACTTCCATGATATATCAAAAATAGCATATATTACACAATATAATTTATTAATAATAATGACATTTTTACAAATTCAATAAGTAAATATAGATGACATGAAATGATAATTTCTTAAATAAAAAAAAAAACTTTTGTGACACAGCTAAAAATTGAAAAATTAAGTACATACATTCCATCGCATATTGGCAAATCTCATCTTGTATGTAATTCATTTTGTGCATGGTTTTTATATATGAAACCCGATAAAATTATAAGTCTGAGTCAAAACATGCTTTAATTTGTGGACTTCTATTAATTAAACAAGTGTTAACATGAATTTCAGCAGAATGTGGCTAAAAAAATATAATTATAATCACTTGATTTATCATTTTTGGAATCAAAATTATAAACTAGTTCCCAACAGATGAGAAATGTATACATTGTACATATTAAAATATGATTATTTTATTATTATATTATTAAGAGATAAACAAAACTTATAGAATTGATGGAGAACTTGCTGGAGGAGGATCGCTATAAATACAAATTAATCTGAAGGTGGTAATAGGGTAAGTTTTTCCAGGATAGACAAGCAAGACACAAGTAGTAGGAAGTGAGAACACTGCTCTGCAACAATTTCTTGTTAGGCGACTGTAATTTTTGTTATATGCTAATTGCAACGCATGGAAACATCCTGGTATAAAGTCTATGTTGGTTCTCGAACACAAATTTTTCTGAGCTTTCGATTGTCAGAATATTAATGCAGAGATTAGGACTAACAAGAAAAACATCACCTTGGTTTGTTTTAGTTTCATTTTTGAGAAGATTGAAAAAGCAAAATTTGTTTTGTGGGCTTTGGAATTTTTGTAGTTGAGTTCTTTTTCGGGGATGTATTAGATGTTGTGCAGGGAATTATATATATAGAGAGAAACTATAAGAAGAGTTTGGAAAGGAGATTCACATTCAATTTATACTAATACTATATTAATAAAATAGTCTAGTCAACCAAACCGGTGGGAAAGAATATAGGTTTTAGAATAAAACTATATTGACTAAAATCTATTTATATTCTAAAATTTATAAAATTACCAAAAAAATTTACGTATACCAATCGTATATTTAATTTTTGGTTGGAAGTCAAACTATAATATTAATACCATTAAAATATTCCATATTTTTCTATTGACTAGCACTAATATACTATTTAAATTATTTTATTACCAAATAAAATACCAATTTATCTTATTTTTTCTTGTCAAGATTTTTTTTTATTTGTTTAACTTTTAAGTTAAATTTTTCTATTAGATTTATTTTAATTTAAAATAATAATAAATATAAATCAGCATGATTATGTAAAATTTTTGAATACTTTTATGTTTTTTTGTGCTTAGGTAAATATCTTATAGGACGAGAAATTTTCTCCTTTCTTGTTTTCTAATTGAAATTGATACACAAACGCTAAAATATTAAAAAAAAAAAAATCAAATTGATACACACAATCTAAATTTGAATTTACATATATGATATTTATTTCCAAATAATGTTTTTACTTCATCTAATTTATTTCTTTTTCTTTTATATAAGACTTTATATTCTTTTTTTTGTCAACAACTTAATATTGCTCAAAAGAGCCATTTTTGTATAACGTTGTTTACTTCTTGAAAACTGATTTTTAACATAGGGATCATCTTTGGGAACACAATGATCTATTTTAGACATTCTTTTTTTTTTTAATGAATGTGAAATTTATTCATAAAAAAAACAATCTTTTTTACATCGAGTGCATTATTTTTGAAATTTTGGAAATGCTAAAACCTATACATATTAAATCCGAGTGGAAAGCCAAAATTGTTGTTTCCGGAAGTCCGTAGTAAAGTAATCCGATTATAAATGCTTTTGTCGATGATTTTTCCAAGTTTTGAAGCTGGGAATGGGTCTTCTCCATGCCGGCAATTATTTTGTTTCCGCCAGTGTGAACTGTGGTTTGAAGAGCATACCGTAGGAGCAGAAGTGTGTGCCATTCGAGGGCATTATTTATTACAAGCAAGGCGATTTGATCCCAGTCCGAGGAGTAGTGTGCTAAATCGGAGAAAATTCGAGAACAAAACTATACTCAGAGATCTTCTTATCTTACTCGCAAAGGATACAAGACAAGACATTGAAGTCGAAGAACATGTATACCATGGATAGAGATTATACTTTTGCACGCATACAAAAAAAAACGAGATTGTACTACAAAGATAATCTGCAGATCGGCCAACTCAAACCTTAACATATATCAGTCTTGCAAAATTAGAACCGATTTTAAACTGTTGCCTAACCGGACTAATGATGAAAAAAAACTAGGAAAATATATTAAACCGGTTTAGACCATCACACCATCTCTACCATTCATATATACAGTCAAAGTTAGCTAGGGAGCGAGCTTCTGGGCACTCTTGACTGCTCGTACATAGAAATGCAATCTCCATAGCATGATGTTGTCCTGACCAAACCACGGTTACGTTGAAAATGCTGTTAGTGTTCCAATTAAACTTATCGGACCAGAGAATCAATTAACTAAGCATTGTATCTTACCGCCTGATCCAGGTTGACGATAACCTTATCGTTGAAACCTTTGTCAGATGTTATGTAATGGTTTCCTACTATTTCAGCGACGCGGTTGAGATTTCTTTCAGGTAGCTCCTTGATTGATTTCTGAAGCTCCCGAATTTCACCACGAGTCATAGGTCTGTTTTAAAAAGAGTTAATGACAACACTTAAGTAACCACTAACAAAGAATGTTATCATTTATACGGAAAACTCTATAGCTGATAATAAAATCGCAAACTAGAGATCAATTAGACCACACAATACCTGCAAGTGGCCACCACATCATCAAGAAGTTTCTCAAGTTCCTGCTGCATATTGTCCAGCTTTCAAAACAATAACAAAAAAAACATATGCAGAAGTAAGCTATATTAGATGTTTAATCTTTCTACAAGGTAGATATACTAATGTGGAACAATGCTCTGTAGATTGAGAAGAGGAAGTTCATTACTTTAGACAGCAGCACATTTGAATACTGGGACGTTATGTTCTTGACCATATCAGGGTCAGACCTCAGAAGTAGTTGAATATCATCTTCCTGAAGGAATTTTGAGAAAAGAAAATGAAAGATATACAATTATGTTTCAAGCAAGAGGATTAACAACATATAAGTAAAAGACATACTCTCGCTCCTCCGGATTCTTCAGGAACAAGATTGCTCGGTGAGGATGACTGACATTTGTTCCCTAGCTGAGAAATCAGGTACAAAGAGCATACACACTCCTGCATCTGCAAAATGAATTGCAATAACACTGAATACTACTTTCATCATACTTGCATAAAACCGACATCAGAAGTAAAACTTCGATGTACCTCATCAACTTCTGGAGTTAGATTCCTCACACACTGCCTTAACAAAACATTCAAATTCTCTTTCTCGAGATTCGACATCCCATCTCCTATTACACTCTCAGAATGCCTCTCATTGGCTTGTTGTTGATCATGATGTGAGATCCTCTCACCTTGAGATAAAAGCTCAGCTACTTGAGATCTGTAATTACCAAAAGTATCTGGTTTGTTTCTTTGGATTTCAGATGATGGACTCGCTTCTGCTGTTCTTTTAGGCATAGCTTCAATAAACACTGCACTCTACACAGAGCTCAAATCAATAAATGCATAAAATTTGTGCAAAAACAAATCAATGTCTAAAGAATTTGGAACCTTTGAAAGCTATTGCAGAGTTATTGTGAACAAAAATCGAAATTCAGAGTAACATATATCACTCAATTTCGAGTTTTCACGAAACCCTGAAGGTTTGATTACACAATACAAACTAGAATTACGAATTTGAGAGTGCAAAATCGAATAAGCATCAAAATTAAGCAAATAGCGAACCAATCTCTACAGTGATACGATATGATTGAAACGACGCTAAGGGAAAAGCAATCTCCGTTTATATATAATGAAACAATTCAGATAAGGAAAAAAAACCATGGAGATGCGAAACTTACCGAGTAAATAGACTCGCCGGAGATAAATGTCGCTGGAAACTGCCGGCGATTTAATCGACGGAGAAGCCGATAAGGGTTAAAAAGTGATAACGACGAAAGTGGGTAAAGCAAAGTAGATTGCTTGCCGTTTTTAGCCAATGGAACACGTGCGTCATGGGCTCATTGCAAAGCTTTCAATTGCAACAATTATATGGGCCTTCCGCTTGGGCCCAGTTTACTTTCTCAGCTCCAATTGTGTGATCATTAATCACTCTTTTTTTTACGTCTAGATTTATTATTTATTGCAAATTATGAGAACTGTTACGTAGACGATTCTACAACGGACAATTCCTTACGACCCTTATTAGATTCACGACACACGACACTTCCTTCTCCATGCTCTTGACGGACACCTTCAATGATCCACGACCTGACGACACTTCTCTCTCTGCGTAGAATCCTGGCGAACGGCTATAATTGTACTTCGCTGGAGATCTCCTGCACACTTGCCTCCTTTAATCTGCAAATTTATTAATAAATCGCAATATCTGGGACTCGAACCCCAGATCTCTTGGTGTAGAAGCATTAATTAACCCTTTAGTCAACCAATGGGCCAAGGGGGCTTCCACTATCATTCATCACTCTAGATATCATTTTTTTAATATAATGTTAAATTATATTTAAAAAAAAAAACGTTTTTACAACGAATGCAATGGGTTATCGAAAGAAAAATTTGAAATTACAATCTGATTTTCTAAAGGGTTTTGAAAAATGTTTGGAACCAATCAAACTCGAGCTCGGAACCAAACTTGGAACGCCATATCGTACCTCCTGTCTCCCATATATCTGATGGAGGTTATTTGATTTCTGACATGTTTATCTATCCAACCGATCAGTGTTGCTGAACTGTTTTGTGCGTCACTGTGTCGCCGACTATTTCGTTCTCGCCAAATAGTATAAATGATAGTTTGCAAAACATACCGGAGTAAGAAGCCTTCTCCATATCATCAATACATTATATATATATATATATATATATATTCAACTTTCATTCTTTTTTTTTTTTTTTGTCATCTGTAATTAAATAGTGCTCAAAAGAGTCATTCTTGTGGAATGTTGTTTACATAAGTGATATGAAGCGGTTCCGTACGAATTTTTCGTGCCAGATTATCCGCTTTTGCATTTGCACAACGAGAAATTAAAGATAAAGAGAAGGTAGAGAACTCTTCCTTGTCGCTCTGAAATTCCTCCAGATACACTGAGAAGGCCGGCCATTCGGTTGGGGAAGACACCATCTTCACCAGGTCAGAACAGTCTGTAAGGAATGCTACCTCTTGATTATCTGCACCAATCATACACTTCATCGCCCAAAGGAGGGCCTCGAATTCGGCATGTAGCGAAGATAGGCTTCTACGGAGGTTGGCAGCTCCCATTGTTGATGGCTCACCGTTTGATGGTGTACAAAACCACCCTATCCCGGAAAACTTGTCGCTGTCTTTCCAGGATCCATCCACAAAACAACGGTATCCTGTAAAATCCGAATCTAGGGACACCCCCCTCGTTTGAGGCCGATTTGGAAATTCCACTGAAGCCTGAGTTTCAGTATGAAGCTCCACTTGAGCTGAGTGCCACAATTGTGCCTCTCTTTCCGCTAACCGTAAAACCTCTAACGGATCGTTATCCACATTTTCAAACAATTTTTCATTCCGTGCTTTCCAAATATACCAAATAATCCAAGGAAAAGCTATAGAATCAAACTCCGATGGTATTCTCCAAAATAAATGATCCAAGTTTGCAAAAATATAATCTGTGGGAAAAGTCCCCATAACCGTAAGAATCTGAGAAAGTGTCCAAACCTGTCTTGCAGGATGGCACTGAAAGAGTGTGTGATTGACTGTTTCCTCCAGTGCACCACATCTGGCACAACCAGTGTCACAATCAATTCAACTTTCATTCACAAGATTGGAATAGATGTTTTTTTTTTTTTTTTTATAATTTACAAAATATACATATTTCGTCTTAACTTTTAGTTGTGCTTCCTCAATTACGTAGTATGAATTTATTTTTAACTTCCACTTAATATTGGATAACTAGTATGTTAATCAAGTTTTAATTCTTAGTTTTTCTTAGCTTAAACTAAAATTAAATTTTGATGAAAATGTACTCATTAGTTACCACAAAATCAGTCTCAATAGTCACGTGTTCTCTATTGTCTCTTGAAAGTTGGAAATTATCATCACCACATGTTCTCTCTTTTACTAACAAAAGATAAAACCAATAAAATTTTAAGACAAGTTCCGATGGACCCGGTCAACCAAAACTTTCGTCAAATCTGTAAAAATCCCTATAAATTAAATTTTATTTCTTCCTTAATTTCTCCAAAATCACTCTTTTCTTATTTTTAAAGCATTTTTTCGCTTTTACCATAAACCACAAAAAAATACGTAATTATTTACCACAGAAAAATCACATTCACGACAAAATGACAGTGACACTTAAGCTCCTATCTCTCGCCGTGGCCGCATTAGCCGTCACGGCTGTATTAGCTGCCGATCCTCCAACATCGGCAAACGCGCCAAAAGCCAACGGCGAAAAGAACTCAACCTCTCCTTCTCCCGCCGCCGCAGCATCCCCAAAATCACCACCCACCGCTTCCGCTCCAACCTCACCGCCTACTGCTGCTCCGACCATGGCCAAGAAAAACTCTACCGGAACTCCAAGCCCTTCCCCATCTTCAAACAACGGCAACACCGCAAAGCCTCCGAAGTCATCATCAGCCAAAACTCCGGCTTCAAGCCCTGACTCAAGCTCCGGTGATTCTTCCGAAGGTCCTACCAGCTCGTCCGACGCACCTACCGCCTCCTCTCCGCCAGCTCCGACTCCAGACATGTCTCCATCATCGGACGAAGGAACTGGCGCCAGTGACGGCCCTGAAGCTTCGTCTCCAACGGCAAGAGCTTCATCGCTTGTCATCTCTATCTCCGGCTCTGTTATCGCCGCCGTTGCATGGTTTTTCTTCATATGATTGAAGATTACTATTTACTTGGAGATTTCATATTACATTTAAGATTATATTATACGTATCATATTTAAATTTTTTGGGTTTTGTTTTAAAACAGTTCACGCTCCAGTCCCATTTTTAACACGTTAAATTCGTGCATAGTATGGAGGTTAGGATATTTGATGTTGTTACAAATGTTTAGTTTGTGTTATTTATGTTTATGTAATCTTTAGTCACTATAACAATAATCATCATGAGATTCTCATAATTCGAAGGGTCTATTTGTAATTTAATTACATCCATTTTCTAATGATCCTTGCATGGCTAGTTTCTATATATAGCATCTCCTAATGAACAACAATGCGGAGCAACACAAATATTAGGTATAGCGTTACAAATTATAGACTAAATCAACAACAACAAAAAGAGAATCATAAGAACGTTTAAAACATATGGTTTTGTATATCTTTCACTTATCACATATACTTATGCATGTGAAACAAACAATTAGTTAAAAATACCCTAACCATATTCTAAAAGTAGATTAACTTGTAACCATTTTCTTATAGATATAGAAAAAGGAACAGCTCGTGAACTCGTATATGAGTTAAGAAACACAACACCTAACCGTAAATAACAACTCACCAAATAAACACATAACCAATTAAATACAACCATCTCCATTACAAGTTTAAATTCCCAATCTCCATTTCTCCTTCACTTTCAATTCTCCTTGATTGTTTAATCGATCTACTTTTGTGAACCTCATAGAGAATCATCGTATATACAATTCAATACTATAACCCCAAAAAGGTCAATTGAATAAAAGAGCCTAGGGGATCAATATCATCACGTACTATACGATGGCGAGCCACTTCTTCCTCGTCTTCATTCTCGTAATTCTAACCGTCGCTAATGGAATTTCAGCAGCTGACTCTGAAAAGTCTCAAGCGCCATCTTCATCAAAGACTCTTGCTGACAACAAACCAACAGTAGATAACTCTACAAAGAGCTTGATTGATAGTCTTGGTCCATCTCAAGATTATCCGGATTACGAAATCCCCTTAGAACTTGCACCAGACGGTGTCGTGGTGGTGGGGGATTACGTGCCCATTAGTCCCATCGGTGGAAGACAGACTCCCGATACGCTTGCACAACCTGAAGCGGATCAGGATGTCAAATCCTCGACATCTAGCTCCGCCTCTAGATCTTCTTCAACCATTTTGGCTGTTGTTGTTGCGATGGGAGGAGCCAGCTTGTTTTTCTTTTGAAACGGAGAGGATTAATCGTATGTTCTTCTATCAATCATAGAGTGAAACATGAGATATTTTTCTATTTGTGTAACATCAAATTTATTTGTGCGTTGGACTTTTTAATGGCATTTTTTCAATGTCAACGAGATACTTCTTTAGTCAAATGCTAAAATAGCATAATCCTAGTGTGACACATTCAAAACAAGAGAAACATATAATCATGGTAATTAATTATAAATAGAAGAAAATAGAATTTCTGGTACTTAGCCAAAATATCAGCTAGTTGAGTACATGATCGATGAGCCCTATAATCTTTGTGTCTTCAAAACGTGTTTTTCAAATACTTGCTGACCGATCCAGTAACAGATTTAGAATCAAAACATTGTCGTTCATCAGATTCATCAACTTTTGACAATCTTCAAGTACCACCTTCATGTATCCTCGAAACCGTACATTTTTGCATTGCAATAGTTATTCGATTATCGAGTGTGTGATATACGCTAGATTTGAAATCTACACATTTGCCTCTAATTATATTTTAATAGAATAATCTTTTTAAGCATTCAAATGATTATACCTTATTCGGTGTTCTCTTTTCTTTATTTTAAGAGTATTTAAACTAGCCATTGGCAAAAAAAAATATATAGATAGAATAGTCCAAATAAAATCTATAATTTACAGTTTTTCTATACAAAATTTAAAATTTATTTAGATTTAGCATCGGATATCCGGGTTTCGCCAAAATGTCCAACTAATCACAGAAGTGAGCATGCCTTCAAAAACATTTTAACAAAGCCAAACTTACCAAGTGGAATCTTGAACTCAAAGTTATTTATCTTAATTTTTATTAATATGACTATTTTTTGTTATATTTTGGAATAGATAAAGAGACTTAGATGAAACTATATTTGTTTTTTTCTACATAATGACATTTGTTACATTATCTGTTTTCAAATAAAATTCCAAAAAAATTGTGAGTATGTTTGAAACAAAATTCTGTATATATGTATTATTTTAAAAAAAAAAAAAAAAAAAAAAAAGAAACACATAATTTCCTACCCCAGAAATATGGAGTATTAAGTATCATTAATCTATCAGGTACTATTAATTATCAACTGTCAAGTTCATAAAGAAAATAATTGTATCAAGCTCTTTGGTCAGCTGACAAGAAGAATATACGTGTATTATCCGAGATTATTGGACGTAAACAACATCCTCTTTGCGTTTGAACGTTGTCGCCGACAACTTTATGGCGTTGGCCCGTTTTTTTATGTCAACTCAATCGATCAAAAGACCATTCCCTCTTCGTGATTGGCTGAACAAAATCTTTCTTGACAAAAATTTACTGTTATCTATATAGTGGATTCATGTTATAGACTTATAGTAATTAAATTGTGTTCCTCAAATCACTAAAAACTGTTCTACCTGACCGTGTATATATATACTAATGTATGAAAATTTTTGTTAAATTTGGCCCAAAATATATATCTCATATGAATATAGAAATCGTTTAATTTGCTAGCTTGAAATTTATATTGATAGAAAATTTGAAAATTCTCTCGCAAATGTCTAGAGACATAGCAGACGCATTACACTTGTAACATTACGTTTTATAAAAAAAAGACTCTTACCATTCGTTAAACATACGCACCATTGCATAAACAATGATCCATTAGTAATTTCTTCTCTCTTTATGATTTCATTATCATTAACAGCGACGGCCTCGCCGACAACTCAAAGTGCCTGCTGTCGTCGTGATGGAACCCACAAGAGACGATGGTCTTGCACTCAGGCTCGAAGCTCTTGCATAAGTAGAGGGAGATCCAGCACCGGACTCGCGGAAATAGGCTCCGTTCAATAACATATCCCCTTCCGATCTCCAATTCCAGTCTCTCCATTGGCTTTCGGGTGCATCTTCATGTTTTGTAACCTATCCATATAAAAATAGCACACGTAAATATATACATTGATGTCACATATTAAACATTTATGAATATAATCTGACCACATTATTTATGTACCTCTTTATTAAATCGGGTGTTAGGAGCAAGAAATCTATTGCCTTGGCTGTATATCGTTGGAGAAGCACTTCCACCGATTGCATACATTTCCCAGTGAGTATAATCATTGTTCACTACATGGAAATATCCATGCCTGCACCTGTTTAAATTATAACCAAAACCCTAAATATTAGCATTTTGCTAACATTTTCCTTCGGTTTTTATGCTTTAACAATTGAAAGAATGTTCTCTTAGTTTGCTCAAATTTCTTATATTAATAATTTATTAAGTTTTTCATCCATATATCTCCCTAGATCCAATGTACGAATCTACAAAACGTCCATAATAACTTTTCGAAGCGTATTTACTCGCGTGAAACCAACATAATCTTCTCTAACTCACTAAAATTAAGTGGAACCAATATGTATATAGGGCCGGCCCTGAGCGAAAGCTGGTAAAGTCCATGCTTTAGGCGCCAAAAATTATATATAGTAGTAAATAACATCACTTTCAGAAAGAGTTATGTAGTGCTTTCAGAAAGAGTTATGTAGTGCAGTGGTTAGCCTTTATATAAATTTTCATTTGGTTCATTGTTCGAGTACCAAATATGTGTTTTGTTACATTTTTAAATGTATGAGCTTAAGATTGTTTTGGGCAGCCAAATCTGTTGGGCCGGCCCTTATAACGAATGACCGACACTTGTTTTTTTAAATGGTGTATCCATTTCAATTCGTATCTTATTCCATGAAATAAATCTTCTTTATAGCGATGTGATCGTTCCATCGCGGTTTAAAAAGTCTCATTCTGCTTTTGTTGACTTCTTCCAAACTCTATAGTCTCTAAAGTCAAGCTTTCACACTGAAACTATTCTTTATGCGCATGCTTCGCAAGTTCGCATGCAAGCCTAATAGATATATATGTATCTAACTAACTATTGATACATATGTGTACGCGCCATGAGGGGGTAAAAGAGTAATTTACTTACCGTGGCATTCTTTGAACGAGTCCTTCTCCGAAATGGTTAAACGCAATTGTGACTTGCATGTTCTTGTCCTGCGTGTAACTATCACTATGCCCTAAAAGCATGACCTTGTCATGGTGCGTCATGTGATTGTTCGATATGGTTATAGCCGTTGAACCATGTATAGCGTCTATGAGTCCATCATCGCAGTTCGACAACGAGCAATGGTCAATCCACACGTGTTCCCCTCCAAATATCGCCACGGCGTCTCCATCGGATGGGATATACAACCCGGTGTGATATGGCTGATCTTTAATCATGCCACCTAAAGACATAACATTTCGTAGCATATGTTTTATGTTTTACAACATTTTGCCTCTATTAATTATATTAAACATCTATTAAATATTTTAAAGTCTTTAAATTTTGGGTGGCTCACCTGATCCTGGTTTGCAGTCATGGATGTTAATGCCATGAATGATGATGTTATGTGCATAGTGAATCTTTAAGCATGGTCCATTGGTTATGTGAACACTCGAGCCTCTACCATCAATGGTCTTGAAAGATGTGATGATAAGTTCTTTTTTGAGCCTAATGACCATATCTCTCTTGAAAATGATCCATAATGGTTCTTCTTGTGTGACTGCGTATCTTAGAGTTCCGGGTCTAGGGTTTACTGGATCGTCGTTGGCCGGATCCGTAACTACATAGATTCGACCATCACGGCCTCCGATAGCGTTTTTGCCAAACCCAATGGCACAATCTGCTAACCGTTGGCGGTTTGTTTCCCAATTCGGGTCACACCGCCAACAATCGTCAATAGGATTTCCGGTTCTGCAAGATAGGTAGGCCAAGCTCCTCCTTGACGCATTGAATACACTTCTACAAATGAGAGAGAACAAAATTCTTAATAATTAAAAAACTGATTCTGTTCTTAAATTTGAACATTAAATGTGAGGATAAAAAGTGTACGGTGGAAAAAGAAAAAGAATTAAATGTGAACATATTATGTTAGTTGGAGAAAAAATGTTGGACACAATTGGCATATATATTCACTAGCTAGTTTAACTAATGATATTACAAATACAGTAGTTTACATAAAGTCCTTTCATGGGAAACTATCAAGTGAACCATAGTTAATTTTAGGTTTTTGGGTAAAGGGTTTTCTTAAATTTAAAGTTTATTTTACAAAAACCCATTAATGGGGAACTGAATCTGTAAATGTGAGCCATAGTAATAATTGAACCAAAAGAATGTAAGACATTGTTATGGAATTAAATGCTGCATTTTGTTCGTACTTCGTATATATAAATGTATCATATATAACAAAAGCAACATTGTTATATCAAACATGAAACTATCATATTAAGAATTTTCTTTTTTTTACGCACCTGTTAACTTCTTCAACGACTAGATTTGGATCTTGAACATGAGCCAGAGTACTCGAAGACAATGCAACTGTGTTACCGATTGATAGAAGAAGTAGAAAAGCATAAGCAAAACAATTACTAGAATACGAAAACATTATTCTAAACATAGATAAAATGAGAGAAAAATATGATAAAAAGAGAGAAGTTTTTGATTCGGGTTTGTGTTGAAGCTTGTTATTGTCGGGAAGTATTTAAAGAGGAAGAGAGTTCCGGGAGTGAAGGCGTGATTTATTTTTAAATTATTATTGTGAGATATTATATAGTTTTTATTAAATTTACTATGGGACCTACGTTATCGTAATTTCAGGTGATCATAGAACAAACGGTTAATGTTGTGAAACCGTTAATTAGGCTTAGTAGTCAAAAGAATTTGCTTAAAGTCAACCTAATTGACCTCGAACGATGCCGTTTTGTAGTTTTTCAATTTTCTCCCTCACATTTGCATTCAAAGAAACAAAATCACTTCATCAAACGAAATGATGTATATGTACGTAAAAGTAAAACCTACTAACCGTTAATTGAGCATGGTAGTCAAAAGTAACTGCCTAAAGTCAATTTTTTTGACATTGAGAACGATGCCGTTTTCTTGCTGTTTTATTTTCTTTGCATGTTACATTCAAAGGACAATTTGTTTGTGACATCACATATGTTTTGTGATTACATCATATGTTTTGCTTATGAAGTGTTGCTGAGGGAATAAAAGCCAATCTAACTAAGAAAGGATCATTTCTCGGAAGCCTTCATCAAGTGCAAAGTCGAGATAACGATATCCTCAACTAGAAAAATCGCAAACTATGTTCCTGTCCTGAAATACTCCATTTTCTTTTAGGATGTTTAGACCATCTCCATCGAGAAGATGTCTCACAGTTTCTCATAATTAAAATAATAAAAAAATAGAAAAGAAGGAGTGAGAGAGAAAAACGTTTTTCTGCATAGAAACTCTGTGATACCCTGACAAACTCATTTTGCCACATATATTACTTTTATTGGTCTAATTTAATTAATTATTTTAAATTTATTTAAATAATAAAATCATAATAAAAATAATATGTTTTATTCATTAGACACCCTTTTTTAGAGGTTTACCGATGAAAATGCTCTTAGTATCTACAAGCAATGTGACTGATTCTCTTTATTGATAAAAAAGACTATCGCTTGCATAAAAAAGATGAGAAATGAAGGACCGAGAACTCGAGCAACCTTTATCTCGAGAAGTGTTTTATTCGACGTTCTTAATACTAGCGATAAGTGCTTCCACACAAAAAATCTCCTTGAGCAAAGCCTCTTTGCATATCAATGTACTTGTGATTTGATCTCTAGGTTTTCCATTAATTAATACCATAATTAAGATTGATTTAATACACCACATCATTTATATATGCGATTTACTTCTTCAACCTTTGTCTTCTCATAAACGTTTCTAAAATTGTTACCCACTCTATCATACATTTTACATTTTACTCGTATCTATCTTAATCACAATAATCTTTTTTACATGATTTATTTGTTCGAAGACTATCAAACATGAAACATTTCTCGGGAAAGTAGGATATTACGAAAATCAACGGTCCCAAAAAAAAAAAGAAGTGACCAAGTCTCTCATTTGTATGAATCAATGGCTGGAAAGCCACTTTCTGGGACAAAAAAGGCTGGAATGCCACCCAAGTTTTTTAGTTTAATTTGTTGAATTAAATTTAAACCTTTAAATATGAAATGACGAAAAACTCAAGGGGCAAAACTCTAGATCTCATGCGTTTGACCCGTTTCCGTTTATCCGATCCAAGCCCACTAATTTTTGTCCACGCCCATCCGAGAATTGAGCCCAACAAAGAGAGAAGTTGAAAACTCAAGAAAAACTTAAGCGTTTCATTTTCTCCGATTTCCCCCACCCTAGAGACAACTTCTCCGATTTCTTCGATTTCTTCTCCTATATCGTCGATTTCTTCTCCATTCTCACCTTCTAAGTCGAATTTCGCATCGCCCTTTTCCCTGTTCATATCCAAATCCGCAAATCTGTCGAAAATCTGGGGAATTTTGCAATGGCTCGTGTAAGAGACGGCGAAGGGGTGTATGAATCGACGGCGAGGCGTCCGACAGAACCAGCGGATGCTTCGGTCGAACCTGGAAAAGAAACCGCAGATCCGACAGAACCAGATGCTTCTATGGTCAAACCTGGAAGTGAAAGCGTCGGGATGCAAATTGATCCGACAGAAGAAGCAGCACTTGATGATTCTGAGAGTCAACTTGCAAACAAAACCGTCGAGTTGGAAAGGGATGATACTGAAGGACAAGAAGCAGTTGATGATTCCGATATTCAAGTTGGAAATGAGAGTCCGATAGAACCGAGTACTGAAGCACGAGAGGCTGCAGAGGAGGAACTCGTGGATGCATCAGAGGAAGAGGAAGAGAACGTTAATGCTCAGGTATACATTAGTTTGAGAATGGATTAGGAAAGTCATAGTACAACTAGTTCAACTATTGAATTAGGTTGTCTTTGAATATGAGTATATATAGTTTTGATTTTATTTGTTGGTATAATTGAATCGGAGTATATATAGGTTTGATTTTATGTGTTTTGATACAACTAGTTAAACTTCTCCCGATTATATATATGTTTGAATTGTGTGTTTTAATATAACTAGTTCAACTACTTAAACTCAGGGATTGTGTTTTGAATATGCAGGATACATTTGAGGCCGAGGAAGAGGATGATGCTGCTGGTAATTCTGGTAAAAAGGATGAGGATGGTGTTGTTGCTGCTGGTAAAGATGGTATAGAGGCTGTAAAGGATGTTGGTATAGAGGCCAAAGAGGATTTTGGTATAGAGGATGAGGCTGCTGAAGCTAGTAAGGACATTGCTGGTATAACAGCTGATGATGATTCTAGTAATGATGATGATGAAGATGATTCCCAGCCACTGCCGCCAGAGAAAATGTATTTAGATAGTTCAGAATACACCAAAGGGTGTAAAATAGGAACTAGGTGTAATGTCACTGAGACAGTGAAGTGGATAGAGGAAGAGTTTAAAGAGGAAGCAAGATGGTTCAGAAGCCACCCTCAGTTCAAGCATGTATTCCACATGCCTAGGGAGCCAAACCACATGACTCAAGGCATGTGGATGCTTATGCTGCGCACAGTTGAGACAGATATGGAGAGGGAGTGCTGGTTTGTGGTTAATGGAGTACCTATTAGGTACTCCATCAAAGAGCATGCGTTGCTAACTGGATTTAATTGCAAGGAATACCCGAAGAACCATGAGAATATGGGGAATCTGAAGTTTGTGAAGAGAATGTTCAAAAGGACTGAGAAGATAAAGGCGTCTGATGTATTAGTTAAGTTGAAGGAAAAGAGGAGTTGGAAAGGAGATGATAAGAAGAAGTTAGTAGTCTTGTATTTCCTATGGAAGGTAGTAAAAGCAAGCTCAAAAAGTGATGGAAACATAGAATCCTTTATTTTAAGGATTGTTGATGATTTGGATGCATGTGAGACATATCCATGGGGCCGGTATTCCTTCTTGGAATGTATGAAAGGGATCCGGAATATGATGAAGAATTTGAATGGGTCTGTCAAACCTAAAGCTCAACCTAGCTTTAGTGGATTCATTGTACCTCTGGAGGTAAGCCTTTGTTTTTGATGTCTGAGTATTTGAAGTTGTATATATGGTTTTATGATATTAACTGTGTGTGTTTTTTTGTAGATTCTGCCTTATGAGTGTATTCCACATCTTGGACTGAAATATAGAGTACTTGTACGTGCATCAAATGACTGTCCAAAGATGTGCAAACACAAGTTTAAAGAATCTGGCATGAAAGGTATCCCTTTGGAAGAAATATATCAAGAGCTTGGGACTAGCAAGGTTAGAGTTTCTGGCTTCATTTGATTATTTGGTTTGTGTCATGTATTTGATCAAGAGTCTAAGTTAAATGTATGTGTAATCACAGGATATTGACAGCATCTTGGTACCAGACCAATATGAGAAATCTCTGTTGGCTGGAATCATTGAAGATAATGTTGATGATGGCCTAGGGCATATTGATATCATTGTTGACAGTTGGAGAGAGCGTCTAGTAGAAAAGAAGAAAAAGATATGGTGGGAAGGAATGTACCAGCTGGACCAGGCGTCCCGAGAGATTGGTAATAAGTTTCTTGAGAATGAAGACCCTAAGCAACAAGCCCCTGAGCAAGAAGTCCCTGAGAAAGAGAGTTCTGATATTGCTAAAGTTGTTGCATCTCTTGCCTCACTAACAGAGGTGGTGAACAATGGCTTTCATGCCATTGAGGAGAAGTTTAGGGATATGGAGATTAGAGTGAAGACTCTTGAAGTGTCTGTGGCAGCTCAGGGATATCATAGTCCGGTGTTTCCGCCATATGGGTCGCCTCTGAAAACACAATATGGGACAAGAACTGATTTTGAGGGTGGGCAGATGAGTCAAACCATGGAATTGGTTTTGTATAATCCCATTTCTCCAACTGTTCCAGAACAAGGTGAGTGTAGAAGTTTCTTGGTTATTTATTGAACTTTTAAAGTGGACTAATAAACTGTTTTCTTTGTATATTGTATGAAGGTGATGAGGAGGAGGAAAAGAATGAGGAGGAGAAAAAGAATGAGGAAGAGATGAAAGGAAAAGAGAAGAAGAAGGGCAAGAAGACAAAGAGGATGTTGCAGCAAGAGGGTGGACCTGTAATAGCAACCGGACAGAAGCGAACAAGGGCAGCTTCCCAACATATTAAGACACCATTTGTGGAAGTGCAGTCGAAGAGAAGGAGAAAGAAGTAAGAACTATGGTTGATGTGTGCTGGTGGTGTAGGAAAAAACTAAAAAATCTTTTGGACATGATTATTTGTGTTTTGAACAAGTAGGAACTATTGTTGATGTTATTTTGGTTGTACCTGGAGTTAGTACTTGTTATTTTGGTTAATTTTAGATTTCCTACTTTTGGGTACAACTGTGTTCAGTCGGTACAACTGGTCAAGGCAGTACAACTGGTCAAGTCGGTACAACTTTGTGGTACAACTATGTCAAAGCGAAGGCAACTTTTGAAATAAAATTGGTCAAATACTTGTTAAACATTTAGAAATAAAACTAGGTCAAATACTTGTTAACCATTGTCAAATAAAAAATTTGACATTTACAACTAGACGGTACAACTGGTCAAGACGGTACAACTTTGTGGTACAACTATGTCAAAGCAAAGGCATAAATACTTGTTAAACATTTAGAAATAAAACTAGGTTACTAGTTCAAACTTAAGAAACTAATAGGAAATAAAGGAGATTAGTCTACATAGGGTTATTACAAACATAAGAAGTCTACAAAGATTTAGAGGAATACATAAATACATAAGTGGTTATTACTACCACTTAGATAGCAACTCCTTCAGCCTACCAATCTCAGTTTCTTTCTCCTCCAAACGCTTCTGAAGATCATCGACTTGAGCACGC